ATATATTTAGACTTTTTCTAAGTATAAGTCAAGTATACTTAAATGTAATTTTAAATATATTTCTGAGAAGTACATAAAGCCCATGTCTGAGAAGTACATAAAATTAAACTGAAAGTATACTTTCAAATTTTTAGTTTAAAAGAAGTATACTAATAGCAGACTTCTTTTTCGTAAGGGCTCTCATGACTTTAATACTCAAGATTTAACAAAACTATACTTTCTAAATTGCCTGTATGTCAAAATTAGTACATCACTACACTATAAAATCCTAAAAATCCTAATACTGAACACGAGTCATGTTTTTCCCTTACAAAAATTAACCATGCTTTTATAGTACAGTAACACACTTTACTGTAGTTACAAATACAAACTTTTACTGTTTGCTTTTCTAGTACAACCCTCTTTCTTTAGCTCAAGTATGCAAACCTCTTTGCACATGCACTGTAATGTGTATTATATTGAAAGTTAAATTTCCAAATGAGAATGGCAACGTTATCGTTTCATAAAGTATGCGGTTTCATTTTTAATGGAGGAAACAGCTGTAGTGTGATGAGGAAACGCAGCGAAATTTGACAGTAGATGGGGAACCGATTGCTCCCCCATGATATTTTGTAAAATGTATTTATAACAAAGAACTGTACAGTTGCAGATATTATAACAAACAATCTACAGATAAACACACACATTGCCCTCTGTTTCTCGCTCTGCGCCGATCTGTATGTGGATGTGTGTAAATATTCAAATGTAATCCCCTTTGTAATCTTTAACATTTTCATATGTAACTGTAATTTAATTACACATTTTTTCTTAGTAACTGTAACTGATTACAGTTACATTTATTTTGTAATTAAATTACGTAATGCCGTTACATGTAACTAGTTACTCCCCAACACTGGTGGCAAATTATTTAAATATAAAAAACGTACTTACAGTCTGTGAGTCAGAAGTGCCGGACTGTCCTTGCAAAGTTGGAACTGCCCAACTTTATAGAAACAGCCTTTTTGCCACAGACGCATTGTAGGCTACCGGTTCAGGAAACAGTCCTGAATGTGCAGCACACATCTGAATATTTGGGTTGAACTGTTCTGGAACAGTGTTGTAAATACAACTTAACCACTGATTTCTAGTCGTGTCCTCTTTTGGAAGGCCAAACCAAGTAGTTTCGCTTTCGCAACGAAACACACAGCATCTTCACGACATGGCAGCGGCGGCAACAGCAAGAATTAAAGTTACGCCTTCTTTTTTTGCGTATTTGGGCGGCGTTATGCAAATCTTCCCACATCGTGACGTAGACATGTGGGGGCGTGTTAGAACGAGCCGTTTTAGGAAGGCGTGGTTGACTTAACTTTTATAAAGAATATCTCTTTGGATTTGAGACTTTAGTCTTTGCAACTTTACAGATCTTCGTTATGCACCAAGAGCTTGTAACACTCCAAAGAGAAAGGAAAAATTGAAATCGCATCATATGACCCCTTTAAAGGGATAGTTCACCCACAAGTAGCCAATTACTCACCCTTCATTAGAAGTCCATTATGGACTTTTCCATTAATTTTCATTCTTAAAGTACTTTATTGGAATGATTGTGTTTACATACATTATTGATAAAGCATTATACATAAAACAAGTAATGACAAGAAAAAGAAATATACATAATATAACAGTAAATATATCTGTCTATTTAAATATAACACTAACAATTAACAGTAGAAGACAGTATCAAATTAAATTTGCTAAGAAATAAAAAAAAAGCTAATAAATGCAGGTAACACTTTAGTTTACGGACCAATTCTCACCATTAACTAGTTGCTTATCAGAATGCAAATTACTAACATATTGGCTGTTTATTAGTACTTATAAAGCACATATTCTGCACGACCATATTCTACATCCCTTAATCTTATCTAGTAAATAAACTTAACAGCTACCTTACAAACTATTAATATGCAGCAAATTAGGAGAAATTAGTAGGTAATAGTAATGGAATTGGTCCCTAAACTAAAGTGTGACATAATATAATATAAAATAGACATTTATTAAGAAATGTTTGCTGTTCCTCAGTAAAGCGGTGGCTTTTATCTCGCATTAGCTTTTTTAATCCTCAGTGTATGGGCCTTATTTGCGAATTTTTACCAACCACATGAAGAAAAATAACATACTGTTATAAATGTACAATGATGGCCTTTGATTATATTGATCAAGGCAGTAGTTGGTCTTTTGAGGGTGTACAGCAAAAAAAATGAATTTGGCTGCAGTTCATCTGTCTTACCCTTTGTAACAAATGCATTTGATCCATTTCTGAAGAACTGGAAAACTGTGGCATGAGTTTTTCAAAGCATTTTTCTTGAACTTTTTAAAGAGTCAAAGTTAAGGCATAATGGACTTTGAAAGGAATGACAAAAATCTTTAAGGTTTCATTCAAAATATTTCTATGTGTTCCTTAGATGGACAAAAGTCTTCAGGTCGCATAAGTGGAATTTCTTCAAAATATTGTGGGCGAAAAAGTCAGTTTTCTGTTGTTATTAGTGTAGTTGTATCAAGCACCGCTCACACAGGAGTCACTTTCAAACCAAGCAGCTTCTGTTAATCTGCACTGCGAATTTGCGCGAACATCTGAACCCATTGCAAAATTTCACCCTCACACAAAGAATTCCCAGTATTTTATATTTTGCAAATGAAAAATTGTCAAGCAATGGTAAATGTGACTGCCCCTTTATGGATTTAGAATGACATAACTGAGTAAATGATGACAGAATTTCATTTTTGGGTGAACTCTTTGAAAATCATTATGTCTGAGACATGGTGTGGGCGACCCGAGATCGAGTCATTTTCTGGGGGTCCTAGATTAATGAAGTCATCGTATTTGTGTTCCTTGTGTAGCTGATGAGAGTGCAGCAGCAGCAGAGCACTGATCTGGAGCAGCAGAAGCTGCAGGCAGTAGAGAGCGCTCTGGGCCTCAGGCTGGACCGGATGGAGCAGATCGCTGCCGCAGAAATGGACCTGCAGAGGGAGCGCAAACAGTGCACTGCACTACAAGAGCAGGTGGAGAAACTAGGTGAGTTGCATGAGCAACATTACCATGTGTTTCCTTACACTTAGCCTGATAAATGCAGATCGGCTTGCCTTCGTCGTACTGAAGCGTGAGTATGTGTTCAGAGCAGGAGGTGTGTGAGCGGGACTCCAGACCAGCGCTGAGGGACGTCAGGAGGCCCAGAGGAACCACAGCCGCACAAACAGGCAAAAACTGCAGGGAGTGGAAAAGGTGATTGGCACACTGATCCATAAGTAGTACACTGCCAGTTTAACGGACCATGGAGCAGCTGCATAGGCACTATATCATTAAGGGCATTTAAATGTTGTTCCAAACCTAACTTTGTTTTTTGTAGCATGTTTTTTGGGTTCATACAATAAAAGTCAATTAAAGTTGTTTTAGACCCCATGTTCTTTCATTATATGCACAAAAACATTCAGCAAAATATATTTGAATATATTTTCATGCTGTTTAGTTTAGTTCAGTGTTACTTTAGTATTACTTATATTCTATTATAGTATTTATTAATATTTGTAATTAGCGTTTTTTTTATATTTTAGGTTTTCTTTTCAACTCCTGTGATAATTTTGTTTTGTTTTATTTGTATGATTATTTTGTATATTTCTATTTAGTTTTTATTTATTTAATTTTATTTCAATTTAATTAAATATCACTTTAATGTAATTTTAGTACTTAAATGTAAATATTTTAGTAATTTGGTTATGTGCTCATTTCATTTGCATTGGTTTTAATTGTAAAACATTTAATAACTACATTTACATTTACATTTAGATATTTAGCAGATGCTTTTATCCAAAGCGACTTACAAATGAGGACAATAAAAGCAGTCAAAACTAACAATAAGCAGAAGTCAGAAGGTCAGAATTATAATTGTATAATAAATAAAAAGAAAACAAATAGATAGAATGCAAAAAGATTAGAGAAGCAAGTGTTAGTTTTTTTTTGTTTTTTTTTAAGAAAAACAAGCAGTAAATAGAGTGCAAGTCTAAAAGGGGAAAGTTTTTGTTTGTTTGTTTTTGTTTTTTTATAAAGAATAGAATTAAAATAGAGAGTGCTAGAGTTAGAGGGTCAAATAAAGATGGAAGAGATGTGTTTTTAGCCGATTCTTGAAGATGGCTAAGGACTTAATTAATTATATTTCATTTCTATTTCGCTTTATTTCTATTCTTTCTCTGTTTATTTTTATTTCAGTTTTAATTCATTTTAATTCAGTTTTTTCATTTTCATTTAATTTTAGTTCTTAAACATAAACTTGTTTTATTTCAGTTAGTTGCCAGTTCAACATTTCTCATTGTTTCAAGTTTAAATTTTTTCATCTAATATTTATACTTTATTTTATTTTAGGTATTTTAGTTATATAACTGTACTTAATAACAACGCTAATCTCAACAAATTTGATATTATCAGTATTGGATTGTTTGGCCAATTCAAACAAGTGATTGTTAAATATTTGAAAGACTAGGAGAAATGAAGCAGTAATCCAATAGAATTAGATTGTACCTAATGATACCTTCATGGTTGGGTATACTGTGCTGACTTTGTTATTTCAAACTTCCTTTATTTATGCAAAATCTTTGGTTGCCTCTGGCTGTGTGCTTTGCTATAGTTTATAGCCGTCAGACTAACTTGAGCTTGTTTCAAGAGCATGTACATCTTTAAAGGGACCTGCTGACTGGAAAAAGCTGCTCAAGAAAACCATAAACAAGCCAGAACGCTGCAGGAACAGCTCAGAACCATTTCCCAAGAGCTGCTCTGCCTCAAAGACGAAGTACAAACAGGAAATAGCACTGTAACACACCACATCTGTTTGCTGTAATAGTTTTGTTGCAGATAAACATATTTGTTCTGCTTGTTCTACTGGTTTGGGCTGGAACCATGTCTGAAGCGATACGAGGAAGAAGAATGACTGTCATGTGCCTCTCTCAGCTGCAGAGCCAAGAAGAGGGCAGCACTCAGCTACGTGAGATCAAGGACAGCGTGCACTCTCTGAGGTCCCAGGTGAAAGCAGAGCTTGACAATGGGCTGAGGGAGCTGGAGTCGCCCTCTAGTGCCTCCTCAGACACAGACAGCCTGAAAGAGAACCGTCCCAGTGTGGGGATCCCAGCATGCAACACTAAATTAGGTGAGCCTTTTCCTATGCACCTCTTAAACAAGTGTTCTAGTATGGGTGTATAAATGCACAGATTACTCTAAAGCAGTAGTTCTCACTAGGGGGCCTCAAGATGACAATTATGAAAATGATTTCAAATAAATTAAATCAAACAATGAAATAGGTTCAAACTGCTAACCTAAACAACTAAATCTAAATCTTTTTTATTCAAATTCACTTTTATTAAAGGAATAGAACCCCATAATTTATTCACCCTCATGTCATTTCAAACCAGTGACTTCCTTCTGCAGAAAATTTTAAAAAGTATTCAAAAATATTTTGAAGAATGATGGTAACCAAACCTTCAGTTGTATGGGCAAAAAATACAATGCAAGCCAGTTGGAACTGAAAATGTTTGGTTACCAACATACTTCAAAATATCTTCTTTCTTTTCCCCCAGAAGAAATAAAGTCATACAGGTTTGGAAGGACGTGACGGTGAGTAAATTATGACAGAGGTTTCATATTTGGATGAACTATCACTTTCATTTAATTTTTTTTTTCTTTGCAGAATGAGCGATTCCACTGTTTTGCAAAACCTTGATATACTGTATGAGGTAGCTTAAAATGCAATGGGCGTTTTCTTATAATGAATACACATTTTACTCGTTAAGGCAAGCGTTAAAAATATATTAGCAGGTAACAGTTGAGTCAAAATATGTTTTTAAACCCTTATCCTAATTCCTTATCCAGTATATCATTAATGATTATAATTGAGATTAAATAATTACTTAATTTTCAATTTACATAAACAATGCCTGGCCATAGATTATAGTAAGTTTTGAAAACAAAATTAGGAGCATTTTGAACATAATTATGAGCTGCAGTGGCCTTGGACTCCTTTTGGCAACCACTGCTATAAAGCAACATTTACTCAGCTTCACATCACCGATTATTCTATCCGTGCTACACAGAGAGCTCTAAAAAGAATAAAAATGCACCAAAACGTAGCCCATATGACTCGTGCCTCATTCTCTTCAGATCTCAAATCTAATTTATGCTTGTGTATTTTCAAACCTGGCACATTTGCAAACCATGTATCATTAATTCATCAGGAGATAGTGCTTATTGTTGATCATTTGCTACAAACAGGATGAACAGTGGCGAGGTGACGTGCTGAGGGAGAGACTGAGGCAGCAGGAGGACCACTTGAAGGTACAGTCAAATCTTGATCATTTGATAAGGTAACAAACTTTGAGACATTGATTTAGATTTTGTCTAGGAAGATTTGAAATCTGAGTGTCTCTCCGTGGTATCCAGGTTCAGCTGTGCAGACGCATGTTCTCCCAACAGGAAGCTCTGAGTCAGCGCAGACTGCAGACTGAAGGCAGCATTCAGGGCCTGCGCAGACATGTCGACAAACTGGACCGGCTCCTCAGCAACTCTTCCAAAGACTTCTATTATTTGGATGACCAGGAAGCTCTGCCAAAACATGCCAATGTAATTGATCAGAAACAATGCTCCACTGTCCCTTTTGTATGGACATCAGCAAATATTTGCATATGCAGAAACGTAACCAAGCAGCATATATAAAGAAGGAACTAATTTCCATTATTTTTGTCAGATTATGAAAGCAGGTGGTTACAGAGGAGCAGCTGGATTAAACCCGCTTCTACCAGAAACAAGCACGCAGAAACCACTGAGCCAAATTCACGAGACCGTCTCAAGGACTTCCTGCTTCAGTTAGGGCAGAGTCTGGAAGTGTTTCAGTCTCCTAAACGCCAAAAAAATAGGCTGGCGTCAGCACTTTCCATATACAAATAAGCAAACTGAAACTTGAGGTAGAAATAAGATGGTGAAAGTTTATTCTCTACCTCTGATTTGTTCTTGTTGCTTTATGAAATTCTTTTTAACACAAACTGATATGTACTTTTGCTCATGTTAAAGTAGACAATGTCTTGCGAGTGTTTACAGGTGAAACAGATGCAGGCAGGAAGGTTTCATGTTTCATCATGTGATGTCATTGATGCAGGCTGTGCTCTGGAATGAAGGAGTTCATTTTTACACGACTGTTGTCAAAAATGACCTTGTATTCAAAGCCAAGATATGCAGAGTATTTATTACAGCACTTTTCTTTATATACAGTTTGTCTATAATCAAATACAACTGAAATTAAGTGTGCAATACAATTAGTAGTCTTTCTTTCGTTTTCTTGTCCAGTTTCTCCTCTCAAGTGGTCTCGGCATTATTGCTTATATACAGTGTATGTGGACAAAAACAGTCTACAGTATTGTCTTTATTAACATAATTACAAACAAAAGTCACTTACAGAAGACAGAACTGAGCAGAAGATTAATTTTTGCAGATGTCATTAAGATGTGAAAAAAGCAAGACAGTAGGAGCAAATTAAAAATGGATTTTCAGTTTACAAAACAACACATCTGAAATCTACCATAATGGACAAATTTAATAGAAAATCATATTTGGAGTGCTTGTTTTTGCCTTTTTAGCTGTTCTTTGCAAATGTGCATCAATGGAAAAAGAAACAATTGCTGGTTGTACAAATCAGATCTGGGCCTAGTTTCCCCTCAATGATGTTTCTCATGCTGTGGTGGCCTGTTACATATTTATTAATTTCAAGATATTATTTACTCCATTAGAATTAGAGGAAACCATGATGTCTGTAAAAAGCAGTTGTCGTGCATCATGCTTAAGAAACTCAGCTCAGCTCAAAAACATGATCAGTGTTTGGAAATCAATTTAATGGAATGCTTTTGAAAAGGCAAAATCTCTTATTACAAGTAAATCGCTGGAATTCTTTCGATAAAAGCTATATGAGGATCATGAATAAAACGGGCAGCAATATCAGAATGAACAAAAGCATATCATAAGGCAACTGAAATTATGTAAATACAATATGAATATCTTGATATGAGGGTTTGCAGGGCCTGAACGTTTGGTACATGATGCTCCTGTCGATGTTTTTCTTAAGCTACTTTGATGTTGAAATATTTACAGATGCTCAAGAACAGATCGAAGGGGATCTGAAACCTCGTAGTATGACAGACTGTAGACCTCAGTATCACAAAACAAGCTCCAGGCCCTCGGAAAAACAAATCGAAACTGCAAAGTGCGGAAAACATTCTTCAGGACCTAAAATGCGTCCTGTCCTCTTCAATACATTACTATAACAGTTACTAAGTTAAAATAACTGTGTCTGAATCGACTGTTTGTTTGTTTGAGATTCTATTGAGATTCTTCTCAAAACAATACTAATCTTGTATAGTACATGTATATTATTTCCTGAATAGGTACAAACGGGGATAAATATTTGGTGATTTGATGTGAAACTGCAAAACCTCTAATTTAAAACAGAATACAATATTCAGTTTTAGATTTTTTTTAACAAAATGTTACATACAATGTTGATGCATATCCTCCTGATCACTTGACATGATGTCAACACAAATAATGTTTGCCAATATTTCCATTTCATTTACATTACGCTAGTATTCAGACAGCTCCTGTACATGAGATGTTTAGTTTATAGTTATGCACAATCACGTCTGTTAAGGATAAACCCAGCATTTCTTCAGTTTATCGACAATCATCTTCTCTCTTCAGGATTAGTGTTCAGCGGGGGAGCCGTCCTCCCTCGAGTGCTTGCTGGGAGCACTGGGATGTGTGCGTACGAGAAACAAGCAAAACAAGTGAGGGAAGACACAGCAGAAGGCGAAGAAGAGAGCAGTAAGGAGGGAATGAATTATGTTACACCTCCATCATCACGCAGAGCAATCTGGCCCCAGACTCCATGAGCAATCATACCGGAAGGGGAGAGGCTTTTAGAGGGGGGATGGTGGACAGGAAGGAATAGAGAAAGAGAGAGAGTGAAGTCTTCATGGTCATTAACAGCTGCAGCCCTCCTTCTGAGGCTGTGTGTCGCTGTTGAGCCGCCCACCCTGCGGAGCGGTAGGCTTATGCTGGACCCCTGACTCGGCCGCGTTCAGGTCCAGGCTGCCGTCCTGAATGTTCTGGTAGATCTTCTTCGCGGCTTCAAGAAATGCATCCTCCACATTCTCGCCTCTGTTGGATGGACATATTTAGAGACGCTAAAGAGGACTGAAATATAAAGTACGTTTTACAGACAAAGAGCGTATGCTGTGCCAGCAGACGGTCTAATGGCCACTTACGTTTTTGCGCTTGCCTCCAGGAATAACAAACCTGTTTAAAAAGATTAAAGATGTGAAAGCGAGCGTGGCGTGTCCTACAACTTATTAGCCTTACAGTCAATTCAACAGTGAACCGCTTTACCATTTTGATCTAAAAGTGGTTCAGTTAAAAGTAGTAGTTAACCCAAAAATGACTCAAGATATAGATGAGTTTGTTTCGTCATTGAAACAGATTTGGAGAAATGTAGCATTATATCACTTGCTCACCAATAAATCCCCTGAATTGAATGGGTGCCGTCAGAATGAGAGTCCAAACAGCTGATGAAACATCACAATAATCCTCAAGTAATCCACATGACTCCATTACATTAGTTAAAGGGATAGTTCACCCAAAAATGAAACTTCTGTCATCATTTACTCACCCTCATGTCGTTCCAAACCTGTATGAGTTGCTTTCTTATGTTGAACATGAAAGAAGATATTTTGAAGATTGCTGGTAATCAAACAGTTGGTGGTTACCATTGACTTCCATAGTATTTTTTTTTCCTACTATGGAAGTCAATGGCAACCACCAACTGTTTGATTACCAGCAATCTTCAAAATATCTTCTTTCATGTTCAACATAAGAAAGCAACTCATACAGGTTTGTAACGACATGAGGGTGAGTAAATGATAACAGAATTTTCATTTTTGGGTGAACTATCCCTTTAATGTATTGTGAAGCGATAAGCTGAGTGTTTGTAATAGGGCAACTTTGAAACGTTGCCTTCTGCTAAAATACAAGTCCTCTATTATATTGCTTTCTCCAGTAAAAGGCATCTCGTGTCTGAATCGGGAGATCTAGGCATAGATCAATCACTGTTTACAAGTGAAAACGGTTAAAAATCTGATTTTTTTTTTTATGCGAAGACAACAGGGGATGGTTATGGACTAGTATTATGGGCAGAAGTGACATTTTAAAGTTAAAATGCCTTAATGATGGATTTGTTTCTTCCGAACACGTAGCTTACTGCATCACAGGACATTCATTGATACACTGGAGTAGTGTAGATTACTTGAGGATTATTGTGATGTTTTTATCAGCTGTTTGGACTCTCATTCTGACGGCACCCATTCACTGCAGAGGATCCATTGGTGAGCAAGTGATGTAAAGCTACATTTCTCCAGATCTGCTCCAATGAAGAAACAAACTAATCTACATCTTGGATGGCCTGAGGGTGAGTAAATTTTAGCAAATGTTCATTTCCGGGTGAACTGCTACTTTAACAAAAAACACTTAATATAAAATATTAACCATCCAAATTAAAGACCTTGAATATTCCAACTTGCAGTTTCTTTTTAACCAATCAACTTACCGTTTTCTTCAGCAAACTGCTTGGCCTCTTCATATGTGACATCACGCTGGGCTTCTAGATCTGCTTTGTTACCAATTAGAATGATCACCTGAGGAAAGATTCAGATTCAGATCACAGGCTCAAGTTAGATCTTTGTGCAAACCACATGTGCAGTTAAAATATGTATGAAGCTCCAACACCATTTACTAGAATGGAAATGTTAAAGGCATCATTTACAAAGTGTGCACTGTTGTTGAAGCTAATGAACTTACAGTATTGGGGTTGGTGAGATTCCTAGCATCAGTCAACCAGCTGCTGAGGTGGTTGTACGTGCTTCGCCTGCAAATAACATCAACTGCATATGTTCCTTGCGACTTTTAAAAAGTAATATGATAACAGGCACAAATCAAAAGGTAATAGCAAACATTTAAACTCAACGCGATCTGAACAGAATATTGGTATACCTGGTGATGTCATACACCATGAGGGCCCCGGCGGCTCCTCTGTAGTAGCTGCGTGTGACGGCGCGGAATCTCTCCTGCCCTGCAGTGTCCCAAATCTGAAGCTTCACCTTCTGCCCACTCACTTCAATTATCCGTGTGCCAAACTCAACGCCAATTGTATGAGGACAGTCCGCCATAACTACAACGAGACAAAGTTATGCATGTTAGACTAAATAAAAAGACTTTTCATTTAAAATGACATAAGGTCTTTAATCAATAATCAATCTAAAAAAAAACAAAAAACATATATATGGTAGTGTTGTAAAAAAAATACAGCTTTTTTTGATACACAGATACTTATATACTTGAAACTGTTTCAATACTCTTTTTCCACAATAGCTAATGATCTGGTCATTTCAGAGCAACTCGATTCACAGTAAATGCTGCAAACTTCATCTCTGCATGTGCTGTGAGTTTAACATGCATTTGAAAACGCAACATACACCAGTTAGGCTTTTTCACATTCCATCCAGATCATGACAGCTTTTCACAAGATTTGCAATTTGTAATTATTTGACAATTTTCTGTTGTCACAGTTTCTCTTGTAAACGTTTCCCTGCAGTTTCCCACCAAAATAAAAGCTTGAGGCTTTCATTCTTTAATGAAAATTAATGGAAAGCATTACATTTTTATTACTGCAGTGTAAAGTAAAATAATCATAATAATTATTATGAAATATTCATTTTTTTATTTTACAGTGCAGTTCTATTGTCTATTGCAATAGTGATATATTTCTGTCTTGAAATAATAATACTATAATAATACTAAACTATACTGATATATTAGTAGTAGTATTAATAGTTATTGGACATAAATACAGTGCGGAAAATATTTGATCCCCTGCTGATTTTGTAAGTTTGCCTTTGGTCTTGCCCATGGTGGTGGGAGAGGTTGGAATGGAAGATACAGATTGTGTGGACAGGTGTCTAATACACCTAACGAGCTGACATTAGGAGTAACTTCTTAAAGTGGCAGGACTAATCTGTGTTCCATGGGCACATAACCAGTCTGTGGGAGGTAGAATTCTTGCTGGTTGGATGGGGATCAAATACTTATTTCACTCACTGAAATGCAAATCAATTTCTAAACTTTATATAATGTGTTTTTTCTGGATTTTTTGGTTGATATTCTGTCTCTATCCGTTAAAATAAACCTACCATAAAAATTAGACCCTACATTTCTTTGTAAGTGGGCAAACTTACAAAATCAGCAGGGGATCAAATAAATATTTTCCCCACTGTAATCTCAGACAACAGTTCATAAGAAAATAAGTTAAAAAGAATGTACTTATTTTATGATTACGAACAAAAGTAATTTAATTTAGATACTGTTAAAATTTTATGCCCTTACTGTTGTGGCAACTTTTCCCTGTGGCACCAAAAATGGTATAGGAACGGTTTTTCAAGGTATTGTATCAAAATTATTAATTCCAGTATTGTGATAAAGCTAGCATGAGGTATTAGCCTGTATCTCAAAAAGCACTGTTCCCTTGTTTTAGTGTAATGCATATCATTCTTAGCACTTACATTTCTTTTCTGTGAACTGGTGGAGTAAACATGACTTTCCAACCCCCATGTCACCTATATAGACACCAAATATTCATATTTAATATTCAGCATGACAAAATACAACACAAAGAGACATCTGATTTGTCACAAAGACACAATACCCAAAAATCAAACTCAGTAAATATTATAAAACGTTTATATAACACATTATATGTTTTCTAAAACAGTTCACACGTAGTGGAAAACAGACTGCTCACTTACCAATAATGATATATTTGAAAATATAGGAATAGTTATATGGTGCTGTCGTCATTTTTGCTCTGAAAAGCAGAAAGAGAAATGATTCAAAGCTTAAAATGACACATTAACCCATAAACAGCCGAAACAAACCAAATGTAGAGCATTCACGGCAACAAAATGAACCCACACTGACAGCAACCCAGCAGCGCTCAGCTGACCAGCTAACGTTAGTCCTACTATTGACTATAAAGACGCATTTCCCTTTTCCTCCATAAGTTTGCCTAACCTCGGCGGTGAGCGTTCAGGATCATATCAATGTAGAAATTACAAACAAACACGAGAGTAATGTAAACTGAAATGTATACAGGCACAGGGTAACGTGACACTGAGCTAAAGGAGCATAAACGAGCTAAAGGAGCATAAACAATCTGCAGCACTACAATCAGCTAGCGCCATGACGGACTAATCGGCTAATCACATACCCCTGTCAAAGGTTTCGCAGCTATGTGCTAGACCACACCTAATAAAAATCACTCCAAAGTATTATTTTAACGCGCAAACCAGCGGCACTTGCGTTTCCGTGTCGCATTTCAGACGATAAATGTGTTAATGTTCAGCATTAAAGGACTAGTTAGCGTTAGCTGACCTCGCGCTGAGCCAAACCCAGAAATGCTAAAGCTAACAGCTACTCCCAAAATTAGACCCGTGAAGCGTTAAAAACAGTGTCAGTCATTAGTATCCAACAATTTTGAAACGCAGTATTGTGAAATGTATCTTGTCGTGTGTATCCTTTACCTAAAATATAAATTCAAGTGGTTTTTGGAGGTTTGGGTTGGTCTCGGTGTGTGTGAGCCGTCTGGCCGCTTTCTTCCTCTAAAAGTGCTGCTGCGATGAAAACAGTGAGAGCAGCGACCTCCACTGGAGACACAACACACTGCACTGCACGGCACTACTCTCGCCTCCACTGGAGACACAACACACTGCACTGCACTACTCTCGCCTCTACTGGAGACACAACACACTGCACTGCACTGCACTACTCTCGCCTCTACTGGAGACACAACACACTGCACTGCACTGCACTACTCTCGCCTCTACTGGAGACACAACACACTGCACTGCACTGCACTACTCTCGCCTCTACTGGAGACACAACACACTGCACTGCACTGCACTACTCTCGCCTCTACTGGAGACACAACACACTGCACTGCACTGCACTACTCTCGCCTCTACTGGAGACACAACACACTGCACTGCACTGCACTACTCTCGCCTCTACTGGAGACACAACACACTGCACTGCACTGCACTACTCTCGCCTCTACTGGAGACACAACACACTGCACTGCACTGCACTACTCTCGCCTCTACTGGAGACACAACACACTGCACTGCACTGCACTACTCTCGCCTCTACTGGAGACACAACACACTGCACTGCACTGCACTACTCTCGCCTCTACTGGAGACACAACACACTGCACTGCACTGCACTACTCTCGCCTCTACTGGAGACACAACACACTGCACTGCACTGCACTACTCTCGCCTCTACTGGAGACACAACACACTGCACTGCACTGCACTACTCTCGCCTCTACTGGAGACACAACACACTGCACTGCACTGCACTACTCTCGCCTCTACTGGAGACACAACACACTGCACTGCACTGCACTACTCTCGCCTCTACTGGAGACACAACACACTGCACTGCACTGCACTACTCTCGCCTCTACTGGAGACACAACACACTGCACTGCACTGCACTACTCTCGCCTCTACTGGAGACACAACACACTGCACTGCACTGCACTACTCTCGCCTCTACTGGAGACACAACACACTGCACTGCACTGCACTACTCTCGCCTCTACTGGAGACACAACACACTGCACTGCACTGCACTACTCTCGCCTCTACTGGAGACACAACACACTGCACTGCACTGCACTACTCTCGCCTCTACTGGAGACACAACACACTGCACTGCACTGCACTACTCTCGCCTCTACTGGAGGCACAACACACTGCACTGCACTGTACTACTCTTGCCTCTACTGGAGGCACAACACACTGCACTGCACTGCACTACTCTCGCCTCTACTGGAGACACAACACAACAGCGAAACCAGAATAAAATTGGTTCAGAAGAAAGAAGCTTTTCTCAAAAAGTGCATTTTTAAAAAATGTCAGATCGAGGCAAGCTGCCACACGTTTTAAATAAACATAAATGTTTATAATTTTAGTTGCAATATTAGTTGGCCAAGGCAATGGTTTATTATATTGTCTTGAGCAATTAGCCGTTTCATTAAATGTCTCCCCTTTACTGTTATATCAACGAACACGCTCTTTAAAGCAAAACCTTTATACTGTAGACAAATAATGGCACACTGCACTGTCTCCTTTATTATGACTGGTGCTATCAAACCTCGCAGAATCACCAGCAACTGAATCAGTGTAAACACTTACTGTGCATTTTTATATAATATTGCACGTATAATATTAAACCGCAAACTCTGCGTTATTTATTTACTGACTGACTGACTTAATTTTTTTTCCAGAAGAAAATGCATGTTCGTAGAGCTGACTAATAAGAGGAGGGGTTTCATATGCAAATGAGACAAACCTGTTGAAGATTACTCCCAGTACCTGCGGAAGCTCAGTGCTCAAACCTACAGCTGTCGTCCCAGACTCATCTGCTGATAATACCTTTAAAAAAGCTTTAGCCAACAGGTAGGTTCTGTTTGATGGTGTTTTAGGATAGAAAAACATTATTTTGTTTCCTGATGCATAGTCATCATCTGATGTTGCTATTAATTATTTTTCTCAAGCATCACTTATTTAGGTTAGGTAAATTATTATTATTTATTGTATTTATTAATACAATTATTATTGTATTATTAATTATTGCTTTATTCTAACTGAAAAACGAAACTGATCTGCTATATACCAGTTGTATTTAAAAAATACTTTTCTCTATAAATACTGCAAATTATGACATTATCTCTATAGTAACCAATAAACTGCATTTTATGTCAGATGATGTCAACAGGGTAACTTTTACCTTTAACATTTTCCTGTTGTCTATTCCTGAATGACATACAGTGGTTGAGAACAGGTAAGTGTTGAAGTAAATGTATTGTTGTGCATTGCACCTCTGCGGTAAGTAAGAGAGACCCGCCCTTTGTGACTCTTTCATTTTTCCATTGGGGGTGGAGATCTGTGCCTGAGGGCATGACGAGACTCATCCACTTCATCCCCCACCTCATACCAGCCCAGCAGTTTGAGTTTGTGGAAGCTTTAGAACAATTTTAAAGATGTAGAAAAAAATTTCTAGACCAGGGCTATTCAACTCAGCTCCTGGAGGGCCGTGTCCTGCAGAGTTTAGTTCCAACCCTAATTAAACATACCTGACCAAGCTTATCAAAGTATTCAGGACTATTTAAAAATGATGAACAGGTGTGCTGGATAGGGGTTGGAAGTAAACTATGCAGATTACTGGCCCTCCAGGACCGGAGTTGACTAGCCCTGTTCTAGACCGAGAGACAGAAACTGCCATTGTTTTCTTTTGATGAACAAAGTACAACACCCTTCCTCTATTTAATCTTATTCTCAACAATAGACTATGTGGAACACAAGAGCATGCAAAATACGGCTATTGTGTATGGCTGTTACAATAGTTGTTGTTTTCAAACAGCACCATGGTGAACCACCCTGAATTTGAGAAGGCAGGAAAGCAGCCAGGCCTGCAGGTGTGGAGGATTGAGAACATGGATTTGGTGCCTGTCCCGAAGAATCTTCATGGTGGCTTCTACACAGGCGATACCTACCTAATCCTCAATACCATAAAGCAAAACTCTGGAAATCTACAATATGACCTTCACTTCTGGATAGGTGAGACTGCGGTTAGTGTAAATGCAAGGTCCTCTGTGTGCACTCGGTAAATGGTGTGCATTTTCACTGAAAACCCATTTATGAACATTGTTAAATGGCATCTCCAGGTGATGCATGCTCAATAGATGAGAGTGGGGCAGCTGCTATCTTCACCGTACAAATGGATGATTTCCTTGGTGGAAAACCCATCCAGTACAGAGAAGTACAGGGATATGAGTCAAAAACCTTTGTAGGCTACTTCAAATCAGGCCTCAAGTACATGGTGGGTAGAGTTAATACGTTTACCATGCTTTGATGCATAATATGCAAATATGGAATCTCATGCAAAATGTATTTGGGTACTTGGTCAGTTCATAATCTCTGCTAAATCATTTTTCTTACCAAACTGCTTTTCATTTCTTCAGCAAGGTGGAGTTGCCTCTGGATTCAAACACGTAGCTTCCGGTGAAGTGAATGTGAAGCGAGTTCTCCATGTGAGTGGTCGACGTGTGGTCCGGGCCATTGAGGTACCTGTGAGTTGGGACAGCTTCAACCAGGGTGATTGCTTCATCCTAGACTTTGGACAGGTGAAAGATGACATGAATGAATGAATGTTTTGCTTTTTCTCTTGCATTTTATCATAAGGTATCCGATGTATTCATGCTATTTCTTTTATGCTTGCATCAGGAGATATACCAATGGTGTGGGTCCAAGTGTAACCAGTTTGAGAGACTGAAGGCCACCAGTGTTTCCAAAGATATTCGTGATAATGAACGTTGTGGGAGAGCTAAACTTTTTGTATGTGAAGAAGGATCAGAAAATGAGAAGATACTAACGGTTAGTATTATAAAAGGAAGATGTTTTATTCAGTCATTTTCGATATAGGTTAGTGTTAGAATACACCACACAACATAAAAAAAAATAAGCATCATACACTTGCTGAGTTTGTAAATGGTTAGAGAGGAACTGGATATCAAATATTATACAACTGAAGATCACACGCTACCAGACCATCAAGTCATTCCGGACAAAATAAACTCACATAGAGACATTTGCCTTATTGCTAGAAGTAAAAGTTTGTAAAATATCAAACATATTTAACATTTGACTGAACTGAACTGAACTGGCTCTGACTACCTCAACTAGTAGTGTTGACTCTCCCAGACTGCAGATCGTCAAAAATCAGGCCAAACATTGTGTAGTGTATTTTAGCTTTTAGTAAGGATTCAATATTATTTTCTGAATGCACGTGCTTTACTATATTTTGTCAGATTCTTGGACCAAAGCCTGATCTTCCTGATGCACAGACTGAAGACACCAAGACTGATGCATCCAACAGGAAGTCTGCAAAATTGTACAAGGTACAGTAAGCTACACTCTAGGTTTTCCGTGAGAAATACTGAAAACTTTACAAAAATGGTTTATTCTGGTCATTATTACCTAGGTGTCAAATGCCAGTGGGAGTATGTCTGTCACTTTGGTGGCTGAAGAAAACCCCTTTTCCCAGAGTGCACTGCAGTCCACCGACTGCTTCATCTTGGACCATGGTTCCAATGGCAAGATATTTGTCTGGAAAGGTCAGCTAGGCACATCATTCAAATTAATTCAAAATTTGCATTTGGATCATGCCTAAATGTAAATCTTGACCTTTTATTTCTTTAATATAACAGGTAAAGAGGCTAATAAAGAAGAGAGGAGTGCAGGCATGAAAGCTGCTGAGGACTTCATCAGTAAGATGGGCTATCCCAAACATACTGAAGTCCAGATCATCCCTGAGAATGGAGAGACTCCTCTCTTCAAACAGTTCTTCAAGTTCTGGCATGATACAGACCAGACAAAGGGTATGGGACAAGCCTATGTGCCTAACAAAATTGCCAAGATCAAGAAAGTGCCCTTTGATGCATCATCTTTGCACAAATCGGAGGCAATGGCTGCTCAGCATGGAATGGTAGATGATGGGAAGGGGGAGAAAAAGGTAAATGTGTTCTGTATTGTACAACAGATTGTAATGATCAAGTGTTTTTATGTAGACAAAATAATGGACAATTTGTCTTGTTTTGTTGCTTTGGAAAGATCTGGCGCATTGAGGGATCAGACAAGGTACCAGTTGACCCATCCATTCTTGGGCAG